ATAATTTTGCTGTTAATGATTTCAATTTTTAATGTTAAATAATAGCACATAATTGAATAGTAAATTAATTGCCAAACTAGCCATGCCAATATTATATTGCAAGTAAACATCCAAACAATACTGTGTGATATAGCTATTACTAAATGAATTTGTTTTAAAATACAAATCAATAGCAACATAATAAATGAAATATGTTTTGATATTTTTATTACTATTTCTGTCGTTTTGATCACAATTTTACTAAATTTCAGTAATTTATAGACGAGTTGTATGTCTTGAATATCAATACTTTTAGGTGTTATAAAACCCGAAAGCATTTCAAATACTCTCAAATCCGTTGGTTTTACACCTCTTTTATAATTAATATAATGTATTATTTGTGATAATAATGCTATTAAAGCACTTATAATAACAATAAATCCAAAATGTAATTTCAGACCAAATAAATGAGGCATATCTCCAATAATAGCATAAAATCCTTCATTTTGTTTGGGAATTAAAAGTAATATAATTTGTTTGAATAAAAATATAAATAAAACAATAAAAGCAAAAAATGGATTTTAAATGTATTTCTATAGGCATTGAACGGCTTATACATCGAGAGACCAATACTAGAGAAATGAGTGCCGGCTTTCGCTATAATCACTGATTTCGGTAATAATTTATTTAATTTTATCACATTTTGTTTGTCACTAACTTTATTATTATTTAAAGACATATTTATTTATTACGAATATCTTATAAACTAAACCGCAAACTAATATTCATAAACGTATTTATAAAATATTTTATTAATTCACTATATTTTGAAAACAAAAATTTATTAACACGTCTTAATTTAGCAAATAGTGTTATATCTTATAATTATTATATTTGCCTAATGGATTTCCAATTGTTAATGATAAATATTTTATATAGTCCAATTAATATAATAAATATAATGATTATTACAATAGCATTTCTAATTTATTTTGCAAGAAATATTGTACAACAAAGTACAATTGTATCTAAAATACCAATATTAACGCATTAACTATTTATTTAATATAGATATTTAATAAAGATAATAACAATTTACATAGAGTATAAAATTGTTCGAATATAACATTCAAATAAAATGTAAATAATTGTTACATCATTAGATGTATACCAATGGTATAATACTATCATTTAGAAATAAAATAATTGTTCTCAATTCCTTATATTTTTAACTACAATTCAATGTAAAAATTCTTGTTACCATGATTACTATGATCCACTTCCCACTTCAACCAATGGGCTTAAACATGGGACATTGACATAAGGCTAATGTTAAGTCTATGGTAATGTTAATCTTATGGATAATGTTAAGTCTATTGAAGTAAAGTTATTCAATGCTTTTTTATAAATACTTATAAACATTTGAGTAAGCTATAGATAAATTATTTTATGTAATGCAAAAATATTTTTACAGCTAATTATTAACCAAAATTGACAATTATTATTTTATATTAATAGTAACTGCCTAATCAAAGAATATAAAGTCTATATTATAGACTGCCTGTATAATAATTAAAATCTATGCTTTATTTTTAAAATTTATACAATAAATCAAATAGATACAAATTGAAAACTTATTTATAAATGTTCAATTTTGGATTTTGAGTATTTATTAAACAAAATAATTATTATACATCATTGTAAATTATGAAAATATCATTTTCTATCTATAAAAACTTGAAATAATTGTTTAAACAAAGTTTGTACGTGATCAAAACCTTTTGTTTGAACGCATTTGGATTTCCGGGAAATTTGACGAAAAGTATGTTTTTCGTAGGAAATGAGAAAAAGTGTTTTCTTTAATGTTATAACAGTTTATAACTTTATAATTACTGTTAGAGCAGAATATTTGTCAAATGTTTAACAAATAATATTATTAAAATGATAAATTCAATAAATATACTAATAGTTGTATTAATTATATTTGTGGTCACGTGTTTGTCGCAAAATTGCTACGACATGAATGACCATAATTGTTATTGCGGTTCAATGGCTATCCCTCCCGGAGTGGATATCTTGACCAAAACAGGTACCAAAGGGTCCGAAACGGGCTCAACATTTTCGAGCAAAAGTTATTACGAACACAATATTAGAGTGCAATACGTTTGTAGGGATGAAACGGCGCTATTAGTGGGCAATAATGTACGGCACTGTCGGTACGGACACTGGACTGGCGATATACCCCGATGTGGTCAGTTATAGCATCCCTCTCTCTCTCTCTCTCTCTCTCTCATGATCTAATAATTTAAAATTACTAATTATTTACTTTAATTACTAATTAGTATAATTAAATATAAACTAATATTAATGTACATTATTAGCCATTGCTTACGACAACAATACTTATCGTATGAATAAAAACAATGAAACACAAATCGACACTAATGTGGGAAACAATGAAAAGCAAGTCAAACCCGACGGGTGCCTAAGTTGGGACACAGACGGGTTGGCTCACATATTTTCCACCACACTATTGCACCAAGCACCTATTGATTACATACGACTAAAACTGTATTCATTCCCATTGAAAGCACTCGGTTCGCAAACGTTTGGCTATAGATTCAGGGCATCGCTTGTCACGGATTACGGCACCGACGAGTGCCGACTGTCCCGTACAGACCCGCCGTTAGTTGACTCTGAGACCAGTGATGGCTATCTGACCGTTGAGTTTGAGTGCAATCATCGAAACCATACGCTAAACAAACAAATTTATTTTGGTGTTGGCTTTGAAGGCGATTTGCAAAACTTTTACCAGAGTTTTCCCAATAAGACTGATAGCTCAGAGCTGATGGCATGCGATGTAAAACTATACCACTTTAATCCTGATTGTGGTAAACCGGATGAACCACTGGTGATGGATATGATGATGATCGGTGGCAGTAATAATGGCCATAAATACAAGTGTAATGACAATAGATATACGCTATACGGAGCCCACACTGTCGAGTGCGGTCCCAATGGCCAGTGGCTGAAAACCTTTCCCCGATGTGTACCCAAAACATACTGTAAAACATCTGATATTAATATAACAACTGATAATAATTTAGAGATTAGTTATACCGAGAATATTGCGCTTAATGATG